GTAGTAATATATGTTTTGCCAAGTGACGGGGCGAACAAGTCGTGCACTTGGTGGTAAGCGACACGCCTATCCATAACAGTTGCAGTGCCACTCAGAGCTTTAAATCGCAAAGATTTTAGGGGCACTGCCACTGCGACCGCCACCCTGAGACATAAAGTGACAAGTCATTTGTGCCTGTAATTTCCCAGCACCCTTACCCTTCCAAACCGGAACGCAGTAATGCTCTAACATTACTGCTTGGCTGCAGAAAGAGGTAAGGTGGCAGTACTTCCCAGGACGACCTCTTTCACAAGAAGCTCTACTGCTGCTAAATTGTATTTATAATTATAACTATATAGTATCTATTTAAAACATTTTCATTACAATATATTATTTGGCTGCAACCCCTTTTCCAACGCTTATATTTGTATCGTAAATTTGCCTGGAAGAAATTGCTACTTAGCAATAAGGATGCCTCTTGTACATAAGCTTATTTCTGTGATACTTGCAATACTGTTCTGTGTTGTCATTGTGTGATGTTGTCATATTTTTTCATTTATGCATTCATTCACAGGGAACAGAATGCTCCTTTGTGGAATCAGTGATCGGCTCGGCCGTCCTCTGTACTGCGCTTGTGTATTGTACACAAAGTTCTAATTATATCAGTGCAAGGTCGCCGAACCTTATTCCGACCTGCGGTATCTCCCTTATTAGTGTCGCTAAACGTGGCTAAGCTTTATAACGAATTTTTCGTAGCGCTTTTACGGCTTGTGTTCATTACATAATGTTCTTGGTCTTTATCCTGTCTGATGTATTTGCCACATAGCCGTGTAACATGCTTGAAGTAAAGATATTCTTTGATATCTAAATTTAAAGCTCCAAAAATGGTCTAGGAGCCGTTCGTTGACGGGGTGACTAGGGGAGCGAAATTTTCATCTTTGGAATTTGCGTCTTTCAATTCGTGACTTTATTAATACGTTGTTATACTTAATATTGTCTTAAGAATATATACAACCTCAATAAATGGCTTTGCTTGATCCCGCAATACAGTGAAAGTGGTGAAGCAATCACTTTGGAAAAGATATATAATAAAATTGAGTATGTACACCATTGACTTACAATTATATGGACGTCGGGTCCGCGCTAAAAAGTGTCCGAACTTGTAAGGCGTTAAAATCGTATACAGAGCGTCAAACTCCGCTTTAGTCTTCATTTGTTCGACTGACAGCGCGATACTGCGATGACATTACAATTTAAATTCAACGTTTTAGCTTTTTCATATTCCTTTACATGTCACTACGTTTAAATAGGTTGACTTGGGACATTTTTTTCGTGGTTTTTGTATTAGACCCGACGTCCATTTATTTGTAAGTCAATGATGTACACTGATTACTGTATGGTGTGAAAACACGATGCCTAAAATAACAATAATAATAGTAATCGTTTATTTCTCCTTCCACAAAAAGTTATAACTAGGTACTAACTAAAAAAACTTGCGAAAGGGAGTACATATATTGTGGAAAGCTGGAGCCTTAACCAAATCAAAAGATTTGTATTTTGGGTCTCCAGGCCTCCCAACTCAGATTATAATTACACCATTATGTTCTTAAGTAGGCACTAAGAGCCTATGCAGAGAAGAGATACGGTTGTGTGAGTGTGTGTGCGCGTGTAAAAAATTTTCGCGTTAGAAAAAAACTTAATTTTACCGAAATTTTACAAGAAAATCGCTGTATTCAATAAGTACTTTACGCATATCTTTGAATTTTTTTTATATCAACTGAACTAAATACAACACGTACGGTATACGATATAGATTTTTCAAAAAAAATTCTGTATTTTAAACTTCGTAGCACGTTGTGATGTTTTTTTACAAACTTGGCTATGTATAACGTAACTTGTTTTAAACGGTTTGGCTAGTATTAGCTTCATAATAATGAAATGTATTAAATACTGCTTGTATGCTTCCCAAATAAATAAATAAAAAAATAATATAATTTCCTGGTGATCGCGGCCGCTGATTGCACCGTTCATAGTGGCTATGTATTATAGTTGTATCTATTATACCATAACGCCTGTCTCCCGCTTTTTGGTACTTGAAGTAATTTAATGTTGGCTTACGTGTGTTCACAATTTCACCAGATGTCAAGTAAAGATGCGCCAAGAAGAAGCCTTGATTAGTTACTATAGATATGCATTAAATCAGGAAACTACTTAATAACCCGGAATTCAAACCTTTCTTTCACCCACCTCATAGGTGTAAAAAAGGTCCGAGTCATACTGGTTAGCCGTCGACGTGCCACACTAGGGTCTCTATTGAAGCCACTATGCACTGAATCATTAATAACCTGAAGGCTGTACTTTAATTATCGTTGTTATTTATTTCCGTATATAGATCTTGAGCCTTATAAGCTTTGATACAAAAGCTTCCATTCTTACTTTGTCAGGTTTATGCAAAATACTTATGTTATGTCCATATGACATAAACTAAGTCGTTAATATAGTAGTGCTATATTCCTTAGTAACATACCGGCGGTATAATAGAATTTTCCTTACCTACACGGTAAAAACAGATTACTTGGAAAAAGACAAAATTCTTTATATGAAGACAAATTTATTAAATCCAACAAAACGATCCTATCCCTATAGACGCTAGAGAATAATTACTTGATAATAGTAAAAAAACGTCTCAAAAGTGTATTTTCGTTACAAGACAGAAATATTTAATCCAAGAGCAAATGAATTTGCTTCAAGTCACAAAGCCACTCTAGATTCAACAAAATATTTATTTGTTATTAGAAATGTCCGATTTTGATTTGAAAAAAAGAATGAAAAATTGAGAGGTACTTAATTATTTGACTGAAGATTTATGTTTTCTAATATCAAAAAGGGTAAATTTACAGGGTTATGGACCAAACAGTATATGTATCTCACTAGCGTGAAAAAAGCACACAGTTCAGTGCCAAACCTAAAAGTAGCAGAAATAGGACGGAATCATCTCAAATACTTAAGTTCCATTCAGTGCCGTATAAATGCTACAGCGGCAGAATACATTAACAATTCAAAATATTTGAGATTACTTATACTATTGAAGTTAACAAAACGATAGCGCGTTTCAGAGTACAACTTATGCCATCTGGCAGTGGCGTGATGGAACTAATTGCTTGTTAAAGTTGTGCTTGTTACAAGTGTAGTTTTATTTCATGCTGAAACCAAATTTCTTAAATTATGACTATAAATAACACCCTAACAAACTAGAGATACTACGTATTGTTTCTTTGTATAAATGACTGTTTATTAGTTTTATGATTACAAGCACAAGTAAAAGTACTCGTTACCGCGTGCACCTTCGGCGACATGTCGCGCAACGAAATGTTGCTTTAAGAATATACTCTAGAATTTAGAATACTAATCTGAATAGCAAACTACTTCTTTTTTTGTTTAAGAACATATTTTCTTAAAATACATCCAAGAAATTTTGAATTCATTTAAGATTATTTAAATTTGATGTAAGAGGTAAAAATTTCTTGATGTAAGTAATGTCCAATTAATTGATTAAAAATGAAATAAAATCTTGAAGTGAACGTATTTATCTAAAAGTTAGAATAAAGTTAAGAGTAATATTGTATTAGAAAAAGATAAGCAGTATTTTTGTAATGACAATATTTTATTACTTTTAATAAATATTTTTTCAGAATTAGCAAATATTTTGAGAAATTGCTCTTTCTTATTAGTAGAAATCCTTTTTTTCTGTGTATATGTCTTAATGAGAATGTTTTATTTACTTAATAATACTCGCTGTGAATATGCATTCATGACAGGTCATATGTTTTGAACGAATGTTTCAATGCATAATTACTAACACTTACAATCTAATTTAGCTTATTTCTTTTACTTTAATTCAATCAACAACTGTGCCAAGAGGCTTATAGGTAACTCGGAATTAGTTGAGGCGAAGCTGCAGAGCCTTGAACACCGCCGTAAAGTTGCCTGCTTATCGGTATTCTACAGGATATATCACAGAGAGTGTGCGGTGGAACTGCATAATTTGATTCCGCCTTCCCCTTTCCATCATCAGGGTACCAGACGTAGGCTCGGATACCACTCCTATGTTGTGGATATTCCAAAGATTCGCACGAAGCGTTACGTTTCCACATTTATATGGCGAACGACTGTGAAGTGGCATTCCTGCCTGCAGACTTGTTCCCAGAACGTTATAACTTGGACCTTTTCAAGGCGAGAGTGAATAGGCATTATTTAGGTATGCATGCTCCATCGTCGACCTCATCGTCACTTTCCATCAAGCGAGATGGAGGTCAAATGCGCACTTACATTTCATTAAAAAAAACTTTATAAGTATGTATGTCTATGGCACCAAAAGTTTATCTATGGTTTTTATAAGTTTCTGTCCTGTAAAAGCTTGTTTGAATATCATAAACAAAACTTTAACATTGGTCCTTCGAGCCGGATTTGAACCAGCGACCTATGGATCCAACTATAGGAATTCGACATGTGTATAACATATATATATATGAGTTGGTCGTCTTAATAGCGGTCGACCTGCAAAGAGCCCGAAATTATGGTTTGTTTGAAAAAACAAATATACTTACGCGATTTAGGTCAGAAACTTAGAACTCGACATAAATAACCATGAGTTACTAGTTCTATCATGATGGTATTTAAAACAATGTTTCGGTTTATGCAAATGTAGCCAAAGTTATATTATGTTTGTGGCAACACTAATGCTGATGATTGCGTGATTTTACAAAATTGTACCGACAAAAACTTTTCAAAAGGACAAGCAGTCTTTGAAATGGTAAAATTGTCCCCTTTGTCACCAATGGACACAAAAAGTTATTTACACACTAAGTTTGAGAATTTCACGATTTATTGATTCATTTTCCTTAAAGTTGTAAATTACGGCCATTACTTGTATAAACAACTTAGTGTCCTGAGAAATAGACTCTGGATTCATATGATTCACTTCCACATTAATAAAAGTATATATATTTTTTAAATTCCAGGGCGGATTCACTCGGCGATCGTCTCGGGAGTCAATTTGGAGACTCGGTCGGTGACGGTCGAGTGGTACGAGCGTGGCGAGACCAAGGGCAAAGAGGTGGAGATCGATGCCATTCTCGCGCTCAACCCGGAGCTGGCGCCGAGGCATCACACGGCGCACCTCCAACCCATGCCCAACAAACTCGCTAGGGTACGTGCTTACTGCTTTCACAGTTCAGCTCGCCTGGTACTTCGTATATGGACACAGAGCGTAAAGAAACAATTGTCAGCCAAATGTTCGGTCATTTTAATTGACATCGTACATACTGCAGTGTAACCAGCCTTAGGCTTCAGCAAGACATGAATAATATTGTAGTTAACAAGGTAAAAATTGCCCATTGGGTTGTCTATTTGTAACTTTGTTTTGATTTTCATTGCTAGTTAGCCTAACTAACGATTGCTTGGTACGCGGAATTAATGACTTTGACGCCGTATCATGTGGTGTTTTGAATTGTGACTAATAAATTTTAAGATAATATTTTTAGTAGGTACTCTGTAGTCTCTAAACCAATGACGGACGGCTAGATTGTCATTTGTTTAAGACTACATTACGTATTGCTTACTGGGAAAGCAGGCCAAGTCATTAAATTACGTACGTAGGGTTTAAAAAAAATATGTATTGCTACCATCATAAAGAACAACTTTTCTTCCATGACTTTTTATAAAACATAATTGTAGGCTTAAATAATAGAAAGTGAAACTAGAATTTTTAAATTATATGAATGAAATTGAGTTCCCGCGTTGCCGCGGGGTATTATATATTAGTGCTCAAGATGCTGGCAGCGTTCCCCCTTTGTATTGCTTGCCCGGACCGAATGACTGATCCCTTGGAGTATGGGCCGGGCACTGGTGTGGGACGCCACATGTGCCGACACTCTCGTCTCATCCCATCTCCGGCACACCACCAAGAGGGCTGGCTCCGCAGCTGAGCTGGCGGAAAGAGTAAAAAGTAATAAATGCCAGGATCTCGGCTTGTACTACCTATTTACAGCCTTTGGAGTCGAAACCCTTGGCCCGTGGTGTACTGGGACACCACGGGCCAAGGTTTTCGCCTCCAAAGGCAGTAAGGCTGCAAGACTGTTCATCTGTACAAAATTTTATCCAAAAAATTAAGAGACTGCCTGGGAAACCCAAGAGCCGGCAGCTACCTTGCCCAACGCATTAGCATAGCAATACAAAGGGGGAACGCTGCCTTAAGCTTTTTGTCTTTTTTACCTTACCTGTATATTGTAGGTTTATCTGACACTTTAGATCTGTATTTGGTAGCAAGGTAACGAGCTCAAATACGCAAGCATCCTGCTCGACGATCCCCATCCTTATTTTACTTTTTGGCTAGAAAAATAAAACCAAAATAAAAAAAAAATAAAAGAAATGAAATTGAAATGAAAATAAAAGAAAATCTGATTAATTATTAAAAATCATGGAACAAAAGTTGTTATTTATGATGTTAGTAATATAGTCGTGCGAGTTTGTTATTGTTTTACAAATAACCCTGTATTGGGCTAATAATATGCAAGAGAAGCGTTGATCACGAAAACGGCGTGATGTCACAAAGCGACGTAAATATGTTATGTGCCGAGGCTTTTGAGCGGATTGTCGGATGCGCTGCTATACCAGTAGATCGGTGCGTGGTGCGATACTGTGAATTTTGCACTAATTAAAGATCACACTAATCGACATGGAATCGCTTTAACAAGAGCGAAAAGGACGCTGTGTTTCGTGTCGGGGCGGTTCGAGATTGAATGGATGTAAGGCGTTTTTCTGACCAGCCCAGGCCGCGTTACTAATGTCCATTTGCACTAAACATAATTGCGTTTTAAATCAATGATTGCAATGCAAAAGACGCTCTTAATACATTGTGAGAGTGTCTTAAGTTTACTGTAAGTGGACGTAAATTTGGTGATTCCCTTACTTATGTTGCTATTTAATGTCTGATTCGGAATTTAAGATCATGGTTATATTAGGTGGTTAGGACGGCTTTGATTTTAAATATTAGACCATTGAACATTACGACATATTGAACAAAAGTGATTGCGTGATCGAAACAAATGATTTCATCTGCTATAACAACTACGCAAGCGCAGTTATAATTTGAGCCTAACTGCACAGTAATTACAAGCTCGCATTGAAATAGCAGAGCATTTAGCAAATAGCCTTGCTTTTCATTTAAATAATAAAATTTGCATTCGTTCTTCATTCCGTGGGCTGGATTTCAAAGGTCACGTCTTTGTGTTTTTCTTCAGTCGATATCTACTTTCTCCGGCGGTTACACTGGCGATTACACTATTTAACTTTGGGAAACGTAGAGAAATTCAAATCAGCACAATACTAACAACGATATCTATGTACTTGTTTACAATTTTCGCATTTCGAAAGTGGATTAAGTGTCAAATTCGCGTAATTAATCATGTCACCGCAAAAGTGTCCAGTCATCCAATGCCGCCGAAATTGGCACATCGGAAAATTGATTCATTTCTTCAGCCGCCGTTCAAATTTCGCCACGATTCAGTAAAGTGATCAAGGTACCTAGTTGCATTAAGTACTCGGTGAAGTAGTACGGAAGCGCCGAGCTTATCGATCAGCGAGGAGCTTTAACCGCGTACCAAGCCGCGATCACTCTCATTGTTTGGGTCGCAACCACGTTGCTAATCGACGACTCCGCCAGTTTAGCGCTCATATCCGCAGTAGGCGAATGTGTTACACGTTCATGAGATCCTGGTACAATCAGAGATACATTATCAGGCAATGACGTCAGAGTTAGTATAGCGAAAGGCGATAAAACAATGACAAGCGTCAGTGAAGACTAACGTACGAGTGGATTTCGCACCGTGTTTCGGCTTTGTACTCCCGAGTGATAATGTAGAAATGTTCCAGTTCATCTTCAGCTGGCAGGTGACCATTTAGTACGGAAGGGCAATCTCCGCACGTAGTTGCAGTTTTTAGTATTTTATTTTTCTAACGCACCGTCGCTATGACAACGCCGTTTTCGAGCACGCTCGTTGAAACACAAAACACCGCTATGGATGTTTACTAACACGTAGTCGCGTGCTGAGCGCCGACCGCGGCCGGACGATGATTGACGTCCTTACGACTTGTATGGCTCCGTCTGGCGCACGCCGGACACCGGGCCGCATCGATTTTCCACACTCGCCCGCGTTGCCACTTTGGTTTCACTTTCAATCCGAGTAAGACCATTAACGGCGCTCGTGGTGTATAAAATAAACAAATAATGACCGGGCTGAACGAGGCTCTAGTCGATGCAGTAAGTGGTGCACTGTGTTTGTGTTGTAATCGCACGTGATTGTTTGCCGACGAAGGATCCTTCTGGCTCCTCATCCGACGACGGCGGGTTCCTGCCGGGTGCGGAGGGCGAGGGCGTCGGCGATTCGGGGCACACGCTGCCCGTGCGCAACTCCCGATCGGTACAGTCTATGTCCTCGCACGATGTAGTTGGAATTTTATTTGCACTCCGGACGCCGCCGCGAGCGGTCGACAGTCCGC